CCAAAGACTAGCCTATATGGGGACATGCCGATGGGTGTTTTGTATGCAGTCCGATATGCCCACAATGCATCATCTAGCTTGATTGCCCAGTCCTTCCTAGAAGAGTCTACCGTATTCTCCAAGATTCTTTTGAGTTCCCTATTAGCTAATTCGACTTGGCCACTAGTTTAAGGGTGATATGGGGTTGCTAATTTGTGTGTAACACCATATTTTCGCATAAGCCACTCAAGTTGGGTGTTGTAGAAATGAGTCCCCTATCATTAATTATAGCTCGAGGTGTGCCGAATCAAGTGAATAGCTTTTTAAGGAAGTGTACTACCCTCCTAGAGTCATTTGTGGGTAAAGCCATGGCTTCCACCCATTTGRACACATAATCAACAACAACTATGATGTACTTGTTACCAAAAGAATTCGGGAAGGGTCCCATGAAGTCTATACCCCATACATCAAAAATTTTACAAATTAAAATATTGGTGAGGGGCATTTCATTCTGTCGGGAGATATTACCTGTTCTTTGGCATTGGTCACATGCGGACACATACCTGTGAGCATCCTTGAACAAGGTTGGCCAATAGAAACCTGGTTGCAAAACCTTGGATGCAGTGTGGTTGGCTCCGAAGTAGTCTCCCGCTTCCCTATCATGGCAGTACCGGAGCACCGACTCCATCTCCTCCTCGGGTACACACCTCCTTATGATTTGATCTGCACATAGCTTATACAAAAAGGGATCCTCCTTATGATTTGGTCCCGCTTCATCAGCACCATCCAGAACTCCTCTCGGATGGTGCTGATGGTCCTCCCTTCTAAATCCACACTCTAATCGGGAAAGATGATCAACAGCTAGGTTCTCGATACCTTTCTTGTCACAGATCTCTACATCAAACTCTTGCAGCAATAGGATCCACCTAATCAACCTTGATTTTGCATCCTTCTTTGCGAGTAGGTGTCTTAATGTCGAGTGGTCTGTATACACAATGACTTTGGACAAAATCAGATATGAACGAAACTTATCAAAATCAAAGATTACCGCTAGTAGTTCCTTTTCGGTTGTGGTGTAATTCTGTTGAGCTCCATTCAAGGTTCTGCTAGCATAATAGATCGGCTGAAAGTGTTTGTTCATTCTTTGCCCTCGAACAGCTCCCACTACTGAATCACTCGCATCACACATCAGCTCAAAAGGAAGTGTCCAATCCGGTGCTATAATGATCGGGGCATTGATCAGCTTATCCTTTAGAATGTTGAACGCTTGTAGGCATTCGTTTGTGAACTTGAAGGGCACATCTTTCTTAAGCAAAGTGGACAATGGCTTAGCTATCTTGGAGAAATCTTTGATAAATCTTCTGTAGAACCCGGCATGTCCCAAGAAGCTTCTCACAGATCGGACGGATGTTGGTAGTGGCAACTTCTCAATTGTCTCCACCTTTGCTCTGTCAACCTCAATACCTCTTTGTGAAATCTTATGCCCAAGCACAATGCCTTCTTGCACCATGAAATGACACTTCTCCCAATTCAGCATTAGATGTGTGTCCTTACACCGCTTTAGTACCTTCTCCAAGTTGTTCAAACATGCATCAAAGGAAGAACCAAAGACTAAGAAATCGCCCATGAAGACTTCCATAAACTTTTCAACCATATCAGAAAATTTTGCCATCATACACCTCTAAAAAGTTGCTAGAGCATTGCATAACCCGAATGGCATCCTCCTGTAGGCAAAGGTACCATAGGGACAAGTAAAGGTGGTCTTCTCTTGATCTTCCGGTGAAATCGGAATCTGATTATAACCTGAATACCCGTCCAAGAAACAATAATACTCATGTCCGGCCAGCCTCTCTAGCATTTGGTCAATGAAAGGGAGAGGGAAATGATCCTTGCATGTGGCTTCATTCAATTTTCTGTAATCAATGCACACTCGCCACCCGGTGACGGTCCTAGTCGGTATGAGCTCATTCCTTGCATTCGGGACTACAGTCATGCCACCTTTCTTCGACACTACTTGCACGGGGCTCACCAATGAGCTATTAGAGATAGGATAAATGATACCAGCACCTAGCARCTTGATGACTTCAGCCTTCACCACCTCTTTCATATTCGGGTTCAGGCATCTTTGGGGCTAAACCGAGGGCTTGCTTCCATCTTCCATTAGAATTCTGTGCATGCATATAGATGGGTTGATGCCCTTGATGTCTGCTACCTTCCAAGCCAAAGCTGTCTTGTGTTCCCGTAACACCTGCAATAGTTTTTCTTTTTGCAATTGGGTCAAGACTGTTGATATGATCACCGGTAGGGCTGATGGTGCCTCTAAGAAAGCATATTCCAAGTGCGGTGGGAGTTGCTTCAGCTCAATGGTGGGTGGCTCTTGGATTGAAGGCTTGCTTTTTGGCATTGGTAGTCTGTCCAAGCTCTCCAACTTGAGGAACCCTTTCCCTTGAAACTGTGGATTGGCATTCAGGTATGCTGCCATGTTTTGAATCTCTTCATTTTCTTCCCTTGTAGCTTCTCCATCTTGTATGCATAGCTCAAGGGGATCGGCCAACCTACCAACCTGAAAGCAATCATCAACCTCATAATCAATAACTTCAATCATGTAACAAGAATCACCGCTAGAAGGTGCATGTTTCATAGCATTAGACATTTTAAAAATTATTTCCTCATCTTGAATCCTAAGGCTGAGTTGCCCTTGTTGGACATCAATCATTGCCTTCCTCGTGGCTAGGAAAGGTCGCCCTAAGATAAGAGGGACATCAATGTCCTCTTGCATGTCTAATACAATGAAATCAACTGGAAAGATGAATTTATCAACTTTAACAAGTACATCTTCTATGATTCCCTTAGGATGCTTGATGGATCTATCAGCTAATTGCAATGCAACTCTAGTGGGTTGGGGTTCCCCCAATCCCAATTTCTTAAAAACCGAATATGGCATTAAGTTTATATTCGCTCCTAAATCACACAATGCCTTATTAATTTTCAAACTACCTATAGTGCAAGGGATAGTGAAACTCCCTGGATCTTTCAGTTTTTGGGGCAGCTTGTTAAGGAGGATAGCCGAGCATTCTTCATTGAGTGCAATTGTAGCCACATCTCCCAGTTTCCTTTTGTTTGCCCATATCTCCTTCAATAACTTTGCATAGTGTGGCATCTGGGCTAAAGCCTCAGCAAAAGGAATATTAATATGTAAACTCTTAAATACTTCAAGAAACTTACCGAATTCCTTTTCCAATTTGTGTTGCTTTAACCTATTCGGAAATGGTACTTGCGGCTGTTGGTTTTTCTCTTTCTTTGGTTCAGATTGCTCTTCCTCCTTTTCGATTTCTATGGTTGCATCCACCTTGTCTTCAGCCCTTGCTTTCTTCTCCACCTCTTGCAGCTCCTTACCACTTCTCAAAGTGATAGCCTGCACTTGCTCTCTTGGATTTACTTCGGTATTGTTGGGTAGAGTGCCCGGTACTCTAGCAGATATCATTTGTGCCAACTGCCCGACTTGATTCTCTAAGTTCTTAATTGATGCTTCTTCATTTTGAAATCTTGTTTCTGCACTTGCTATGAACTTGGTCATCAGCTCCTCTAGGTTTGTTTTCTTTTTCGGCTGATTGAAAGTTTGGGGGAAGGGTTACATCACATTTTGATTTGGCCAAGACTAATTCGGGTGGTTCCTCCATCCGGGGTTAAAGGCACGAGGGTACTGATTACCTTGTTGCCTTTGCAAGTTACCAACAAAGTCTACCTGCTTGGGGGATTGCACAAACTGATTTCCAACTTGACATTCAGTGCCGATATGACCTCCCCCACACCATTCACAAGTCACGGTCTGAACATGCATGGTTGCTATCTGCATCTCATCTATCTTCTTGTTGAGTGCACCGATTTGCGTAGACAGGGTTGTATAGGTGTCCACAATGTGAAGTCCGAACTGTCTCCTAACTTGTGCACTATCGGAGTGCCATTGGTAGTTGTTAGCAACCATCTCCTCTAYGAGTGCATGGGCAACTTCAGGGGTTTTGTTATTGATGGAAGCCCCAGCTGCAGCATCCATAATGGTCTTGTTGGCTTCGGTTAGCCCATTATAGAAAGTTTGAACTTGCAGCCATACGGGAAGTCCATGATGAGGGACCTTCCTCAACAGCTCCTTGTAACGCTCCCATGACTCATACAATGACTCTCCATCCTACTGAAAGAAAGTGGTGATATCATTCCTCATCTTTGCTGTCTTGGACGGAGGAAAATACTTGGAGAGGAATCAGCTAGCCATTTCATCCCATGTTGCTATAGATCCAGCCGGCAAAGAATTCAGCCAAGTCTTGGCTTTGTCCTTCAATGATAATGGGAACAACCTGAGCCTCACCGCATCGTCACTAACCCCATTGTGCTTAAATGTATCACAAATTTCCAAGAAGTTGGCGATGTGAGTGTTCGGGTCTTCATGAGCCATGCCGCAGAACTAAACCATGTTTTGTATCATCTGAATGATGGCTGGTTTGATCTCAAAGTTATTGGCAGCTATAGCTGGTCTCACAATGCTTGAAGCAGCCCCGGTGAGGGTTGGTTTGACATAGTCCATCATGGTTCTTGGTTTGGCCACCTTCATATAAAGAGACGCAAAGTTGTATGCGAACACTAACCTATTCGGTCCAGCAATTAAATCACTAAGGTATTCAATTGAATTGGTATTCAGCCATGGTTTGGTGAAACCCTAATGGCATGAGCAGCCTCTCTCGAGCACAACTCATCCTATCCATGGGTGACAATTCTTATATCTCTATCAAGAATTTAATCCCCATGGATGCATTATGAACAAGCAATTCGAAGGGCATCAATTCAGATTTTAATGAACACCAACCGAATCACACAAATTATCTCTAAGATGTGTTGGATTCGATTTCTTGATTAGCATATCTGATTTTCTAAATTCTTTCTCAAGCAATTCAGACAATCCAAGAATCAAGAACCATTTGGCCAAAACTATTCTAGCAATTAAAACCCTAACCAATAAACATCAATAATGAATCCAATCAATCGAATAACCCTAGAGAACTAATTACARGTCTGGAACATCATTAAACATGGTTCAAATTCAAGCAAGAAAGARAAATTAATTGACAAAATTGCATGAAACCCTAGATGAATTCGGTTAACAATTGCGCAGAACCAAAGAAGAAGACAACCTAGAATTCTTGCTTCAATCTTCGATTTCTTGGATGTGATTCTCCTCTAATTCGCATTCAACAACCTTCTTCTTCTTCTAGATCTTCTCTTTTCTCCTTTCTCGCGCCTCTCTTCTCTCCTTTCTCCTTTTTGGGGGTTTGAACCCTTTTCTCCCCTTTTTCTTATCCTTTTATACTTTTCTCTTCAGCCCTCTCAACTCTAAAAGGTAGCTGCTTTTAGGACCCCTTAGGCTGCAATTGGGCCTCCCACTTGGTGGGCCGAAAGGTYTCCCTTGGAGAGCTTTGGTTGGGCTCTCTCCTTGGGTTCCCCCATGGAGTGTAGCATGGGTTGTTGCTTCTTTATGGGCCGAAAGTGCCCTCCTTATGATTTCCAACTAGTCTGTCTTCTAAATGGGCCGAATTTCTTCCATTTTGCCCTTTCAACATGGTTTCATGCTATCTTCCCCCTAATCTGGTCCACACTCTTGAATTCCTGAAATCATTCTCAATTAGGGTAAGAAATCATRCAAATAATCATCAAAACCATGTATAAAACAATAGAATGATATATAGCTTGCGCACACATCAGAAGATTAGGGGACTACTGCCAATGGGAAGAGATAGGGGTATGACAAATTTACATCAAGAGTGACTAGCTAGTTTCGATTTAAGCAATCGACAACTTGAATTTGGAAAGTGGTATCCCAATGAGTTTATTTGCCGAATTGAAGCAGCTGAAAAGTCTGGATCTAAGTTCAAGTAGCATCTATAGACTGGTGAATTTTGATGGTACATAATCTTCTTCTCCACACCTTATTATTCATCTATAGATGACTACTTGATAGTAGTCAAGTAGTGTTTCCACAACCCATCCTAAGTCGTGGGAAGATGTGATTGAATCCATCTCTTAGTTGGGTCAACTGCGCTAACCAGGTTGCAGGCTGTAGCCAAGTCTAAAAAAATGTTAGGTGTATGATTTTTTGAGCCAAAACAAGAGTAGTAATCTATTACAGCTTACAAGTGAATTAAGGGTGTGTTTGGCATCATAATTTTGTGGAGCCTTTTTGTTGCAACATAAGCATCACTAAGCATTTTGACTTTGCCAAATCAAATTTGGTTGGGCTGATTCAATTACAACTATTTGTACTGTTCATTACCTTGGGTCAAATGAAATTCTCTTGGAAAAAAAAAACACCATTTGGATGTTTTATGCTCAAGGGGGTGTTTCCATTTCAGCTCTTCAAGTGTCCCATGTGGCACTTACTGGCGTTTAGTGAAACTTAAGTGTATTAAACAACAACAAACAATTATAGGCCCAAACCGTTTTTTTTTCCGATTTCCAATGCTTGCATTAGGTTCAAACTCAACTCCCCTGCGTCACCAATCACCATGATACCAAACACCCTTTAAGATTGTTTACCTATCCATCTAGAGAAACTAACTTGTTTGTACTTCAATCTAGGACATTCTCTTCTTCTTTGTACTAAATCATGGATGTTCTTGTAATATGTTTTGGGCTCAGGAAGGCCTAGTTGGCCCGAGTCTTGTTGTATTTGGCTTTCTCATTGAATAAAATTATTTTACCTTTTTCCAAAAAAAAAATTAAACTGACCCGATTCTCAGATTGCAGGGTTGAATGAATAGAACACCTCTGTAACTTTAAGAGATGTACAATTCGCTTGTAAGATTTCTGTGAAGTTTCAAAAGAATCTAATTTCCAGTTTTCTCTGAGTTGAAGAGTTGCACAATTCCCTTAGATTGCAGGGCTGAGTGAATAGCACACTTCAGTGACTTCTCTGAAGTTCCAAACTTATCTGAAGCTGAAGAAGCAATCAAACCTCAGCTTCGTGAGTTCCCAACGTTCTCTGAGTTCCTAAAGTTCCAAAAATTCTCTAAGTTGCAAAGTGAGTTGTAGATTTCAAAACATTCAGTTCTATGTGTAAACTGATTGAGAGTGAGAACTTCCCACTTCTCCTTCCATTGTTTAGGAACTGATTGAGAGTGGGAACTTTCCACTTCTCATGTACTTTAAATAACACACGACACTTGCATAGAGGCAAGTTTGAATTTGCAAGTTAGTGGTCTTGGTATGAATTTGCAAGTTACTGGAAGGACAAATGTCTTAATATGAGTGCTAAGTGTCTGACTCTAAGGGGACTTTGGCCTGAAACCATTCCTTTGATATTATATATATATATATTAGATGGGAGCATTCCTTCAACTTTTAACAACTTAACGAAGATCGAGAGAATTGACGTTTCCAACAATCTGTTAGAAGGCATGCTTTCCTTTTCCACTTTTTCCAATCTCTCAAATCTTGACTATCTTGACCTCTCAAACAATTACAATCTGGAGGTTGAAACTGAATCACCAACTTGGATTCTATCTTTCAAGCTAACGGAATTGTTTTTAAAAAATTATTGCAACGTGAACAAACACAATGGTAGTCGTATCCCCAGCTTTATCTCCACCTATTACAGCTTAAAGTACCTAGATTTGTCCCATAACTCACTTGTTTTGGTTGTTCAACAATACATTAGAAATCCTTCACTTGGAGAGCAATAAGTCATCTGGTCCATTCCTCCAATCACAGCTGAATACAACCTTCAAACTCTATGGTCTTGACATCTCAGATAACCAATTTTATGGGCCACTTCCAGCAAACATTGGTGTTCTTTTTCCAAATATGCAGATTTTTAACATGTCTTCTAATGCTTTGCAAGGCAGCATCCCTTGGTCATTTGGTCAAGTTACACCTTTTACTTCAGTAATACTGGACCTGTCAAATAACAACCTTACTGGAGAAATACCAAGTACCTTGACCAGAAGTGATGCATCTTTGCAATACTTGAGCCTCTCATACAATAACTTGCATGGGGAGATTCTTTCATTCGAGTTCAATATGTCATCACTGGAATGTATGGAGCTTAACAACAATGGCTTCACAGGAATGATCCTATCTAGCTTATCATACAGTTTCAATTTGAAGATCCTAAACATCAGAAAGAACAAATTGAGAGGAATCATCCCAAGTTGGATATCCAAATTCTCTAATTTGGGAGCACTTCTCCTTGGAGGAAATCATTTTGAAGGCCATATCCCAAGTCAGTTGTGTGAAATGCAGAAGCTTGGGGTCTTAGATTTATCTAGTAATTCTCTTTCATGGGGCATCCCTCGTTGTGTTAATAACACATCCTTTTGGAAGGAAGACTATGGAAATGCTTCAGGCTCTTCCATGTACCTTACAGTGTATTGGGAAACATACAATTTCTATACAAGAGGTAATGACTACCTCGAAAATGACGATAAGAGACTCAATTGTTTTCACCACAAAAAGCATGGAATACTCTTCCAGAGGTGAACCCGTTTACTTGATGTTGAGTATTGACCATCAAATCAATTGTCTGGTACCATTCCAAGTGAGATGGGAGACTTGAGAATGCTTCGCTTGTTTAACTTATCCAACAATGCCCTCATTGGTTCTTTTCCTGTCTCCTTCAAAAACCTAGAAAGCTTGGAGAGCTTGGATCTTTCATACAACAGGTTAACTGGGCCAATCCCTCATGAAATGAATCAGCTCCACTTTCTTTCTACTTTCATTATTGCTTACAACAATCTCTCAGGCAAGATCCCTTCTGGCCAACAATTTTCTACATTTAGAGAGAGCGACTTCATAGGAAATCCAAGCCTCTGTGGACCACCATTGCATACAAATTGCTCAGAGGATGCCCCACCTGAACCTACCCAAAGCAACGAAGATCAAGAAGGAGAAGAATCAAGAATTGCTGATAATCCCTTATTTTTTTACTCATGCATTGGTATTGCCTACGTGTTGGGGTTTTGGGGTGTCAATTGTCATTGCCCCTCTTCTCTTCATCCAGAAATGGAGACAGAAATACTTCAGCACCATGGAGGGATGCTTTGCCTTCTGTTTGGACAAGCTCTATCAAGCCAGATGCTGCTTGAAAATAAGCAAGCGTAATTGATAAAGKTGTAATGTAATTCCCTCATAGTTGTATGAATTCCCCATATTTTGATTGGATGTAGAACCAGTTCTTTCTTGACACTTGACAGTCATGTTCTTATATTAATATAGCAAATTATCTTCATATAATAGTAATATATTATATGAATGAGGAGATATGATTTACCATTTAATATTTGCATGATAGATAGAATACTGTTAGGTATTAATCAGGTGAGTGCCACTGAAATGCAAATTTTCATTGAAAACAGTATCCTAAGTTGTATGCATCAATTGATCAACCTTCCAGACTAAAAGAGATTAAAGTAATCTTACATGTGGAAAATCAGTTTGCAGCTCAAAAGGAGTTCTAACTTCTAATTCCAACCCCTGTCCTGTGCTCATAGGAAAAAGTTCAGCCTAAAACACCTTTCCATGTGTGCAAAATAAAGCCAATTTATGGGTTGGTTTCATATACTAAAATAAAACTTCGAACAACCATAATAACACTAATTCTGAAAACCATCAAGAACTAGGTGGAGAATATGGATGGTATGGACTCTGAGATTGAACATATGGCCAATCCAATGGGTACCATATCTGACAGATAGTTTGGATCAACCACAAGGTCCCTCCATGTGGCAGAAATGGGTGTGTTCATGGAGGTCCCCTCACTTAACCTGATTGAAGTTTTTTATTATATGGATCCATTCACTGTATGTCCCCAATATATTCTAGATAAAAATTTCCTAATTGAGCCAATTAAAGAGTTTTTTACTGAGGTAGCCTATTTCTGCCACATGGAGAGATAATGTTTCTTATCCAAACCATCCACCAAATAGAAAATACAGTGGATTGGCTACATCTTCAATCCTTCAGCATAGCTATATGCCCAAGTAGCCACCCTTTGCATGTTTAAGGCCAGAATGGCCCTATATTTTCCTCCCACCGTTCACTATTCATGGGCAATGGTTAAAACCCTATTCTTGATCAATGATGGTTAAAACGCTTTGCCCATCACTAAAACAAGCCATTCTTTTGGGACTTTTTTTAATTAAAACTTTTCAGTTTTGACAGTTCTTTTCCTCCAAGGGGAGCTATTGAATATGGTTCGCAATTTCAACATGGAAGCTTTATTGGAAAATTTTGGGGATATTTAGTTAATTTTATTAAGCCATTTGAAAAATTTAAATAAATCAGGAAAGAGTACTAAAAACATGGAATTTGTCAATAAAATTCCATGGATTGTTGAAACTTGAAAGAGGTATAATTGCACATACTCACAAATCATAGCAAAATACTATACATATTAAACAAGAGAATATTAAGAAACTTGAATAGGTACCTCTCCCCATCTCCCTTTCAATCCTCTGGCCACCTTTTTTTACTTATGTTATTTACTTGCCATTTTGATTTCTTTTGTCATTGTATGTTTTGATTGGATCGAGCATTCTCTTTCATGGTTCATATATTTTTTTTTCCTTTTTTAATTATAGTGACCTAGTAAATTAATCATGTTCAAAATAACAAGTCCATCATCTAATCACTAAATCCCCATTTGTTCCAAGAAAAATATGTCCAAAAGATTTCAATAAATTTTAATAGAATATAAAAAAAAAAGTTTCAGTAATATTCTAAAATTTTAAATGTTAGATATATTCATTAATAAAATTTCAAATATCATTGACATGTCAACAATGTATCAAAAAGATGAGGAAAAGATTCTTAAATCTTTTGCCTTACCACCCCCTAACACCTACACTACAAACCAATACCAAGTGCAACATAGAGCTGAAGCAGAATAGAGATGGAAACATGTGGCTAGTCCAGATAGCCCCCTAGTATAATGGTTACAAGATAGAGCAAAAGGAGGTATGGTTGCTACTTGACCCATTAAAACCTTTCTCTACATATACATACAGAAGTTGAGACAATCAGATGAGAAGAAAAGACCTTTGAGTGGGGAATCGGAGAATCCCAAGACAGTGACAATGGTTTACAATAGGCTTCATGTATCTTTTCATCCCCAAGACAGTGACAATGTGATTTCTAATAGGCTCCATGTATCTTTTCATTCATCTCTCTCTCTCTCTCTCTCGGGGGGTTGAAGAACGGCAGTAAACAAAAATAAGATAAATTCACATTTTGGCAAGCCAGCAGAGTTAAACCATTTCAAGAATTACCCTAGGTAGTATATTTTCATCCCCAATGTGGCTTGCAATAGGCTTCATGTATCTTTTCATCCCCCAGGTAGTAATGGAAATAAACAAAAAAAAGATAAATTCAAAATTTGGCAGGCCAGCAGAGTTAAACCAATTGGTTGAGCATCTTTCAAGAATTGCCTTAGGTAGTATATTTTCCAATAATGTAGTACATGCCTACATGGTACAAGTAAACAGTCAGTAGCATCTTCAGAAACCAACCAAAAAACAGAAGATACATGTACAACACTATAGAACCTGYTTTATTCTGCATCCACATCTAGAAAGTAGGAACCAAGAATAAATTCTAGACCTCAAACGACAGGTTTCCTTTTAAAATTCATTTTCCCCATCTTGAGAGGATAAGCAGGCCAACAACAGTGAGACATGATGCAGCAACTAAAGATACAACTAGTGCAAATGCATAAACAAGACTAGGAAAGTTGAAATATTTCTGAATCCTCTTCAAACCTTTGTCAATAATCGGTGCCAGTGCAGCTGCCCCTGCTACTCGAAATGGTCTTGTAACATTGTTTCCCGTCCACATTAAGATCACAATCTGGTGGTTTTCAAGGAAACTTTATTAATGAAAAGCACAGATCCATGCATATGAAGGAAAGAAACAAAGACTCACCAAGTTAAAAACAGTGACATGAAAGGTAAAGAACCGCAAAGCCCACTGGTGAAGTTGTTCATTATTATGTTTTTTTTGTGTGTGTGTGCAGATGGAAAACATATGGACATGATAGGATGTATGTTGATATACAAAAGCATGTGGTTTCATTAATGCCATGCAACTTAAAAGCATCAACCATCATCACAAAGTCCAAAAGTTTTTTGGCATGTGATTTCATGAAAGAAATAGTGTGCAACTCTTTTTTCTTTTTTTTTATAGGAAACGGTAACTTTCATTGATGAATTTAAATAAAAACTACAAATGACACCACCCATAGGATGGGTGGAGAAACCCAAAATAAATAAACAAGCCCAAAACAAAGCCTCCCTATTTACTCCTTGCTTAGCTAAAGTATCAGCCATTCCATTTGCTGACCTTCTTACCCACTTAAACTGCACCCCAAGCTCCCTTGCTAAGTTTACAATCTCTCTTAGAGGCTATCTAAGATGCCACACTCCCAGGTTTCTAGATTGCATCCACCCTATTACCAGCTTGGAGTCTCCTTCCACTCATTATTATTCAACAATAAACAGAAATATTTTTCTTTCTAAAAATCTATTAATTCTCATGCCTGGGCAATAGATAAAAAGACAATCCCACTCAATAGAAATTCTTTTTTCTAGAATAAAGATGAAATTTATTAAAACAAACGGTGATAAGAAATTACCAAGAAAACCTAGATACTGAACCAGCCTAGCTGACAAAAAATTACAAGGTCGATGTCGTACTGTAATATCATTCATATTGCCACATCTTACTAATATGTGTATTAATACATTCTATTTGTTTTAAAATTTTACTATTGAAATTTATAAGATCAAACAGTTTTGAGAAAAAGAAAGAAAAGACCCATAAAGAGAGTTTTTTTTTCTATTCTCTCTCTCTTACATTAGATAAAACAGCAGCTCCAGCCTTGTTCTTTTTCTCTTCTACTTACCATCTTGAATTTTTATCATATAAAGTTACAGCCTTCTTTAGTTGCTAATTGATATGAAATTACTCTATCAAATATTTATTATATTAGTATTATTTTTGAAAATATGAAAACTAATATAGTAGACTAAGATGGTTTGGTAACATGCATAGAAGACCTTTGACAGCATCCATAAGAAGAAGTGATCTGTTGCAGGTTGAAGGGAATAGAAGGGGCATGGTTAGACCAAAATGGGTATGGATTGAATTGGTAAGAACTGATTTAAGCGCCAATAATTTAACAATGGATATGGCATTAAACAGAATGGAATTGTGAAACAGGATTCATGTAGTCAATGCCATATAGTTGGGATAAGGCTTGGGTGATAATGATGACAATGATGTCGTTGTTATTTAAAATATTTTTTCCTTTTAGATATGATGATTTTCCACGTTTTTCAGAAGAAATTTAGGCTCCATTTGGATAAGCTTTTGCTCTTGAGCTTTGGGCTGTGGAAAACAAAATTGAGCCAAAAAGTGCTCTGAGTGTTTGGTAAGATCTGCTTTTAAAAACATTATCATCTAACCGAAAACCCTTTTAAGCCCCAAGGCATAAAGCCTATCAGTGGGAACTTCAAAAAATAAAAAATGACATCTAAACCAAATTTTGGCTACACAGGTGGAAACCTTAATACTACGAAAACTTACATCAATAAAGGGTGATATTTTGAAGGAATGATCCAGTTTTATAGAGAACCCCCCCCCCCGGATCAGTAATAAAATTATAGTAACTCCCAAAGATAGTTTAAGCTGCACATAAAGTATCAATATACACAATAAAATTGGCCCCTACACAGAATATTCAAAGGAATCACCTCTATCATGGTGATAGCAGTCCATACAAGATTATCTGTATGCATTCCCTCTCTAGCAAGAAAATCCATGGTAGAATTCGATGGTCTCGGAAGCCAATGGAACAAGGAGTTCAATGTAGAGAACAGGGATCTCAAGATTGCATTTGAATGATTTCTTTCTTAGATGTAATGTACTCCCAATTTCATAAATTTGTGTCTCATAAAACTTATTGATGAGAACCCCATTAAGCCTTTGAAGGCTAATTCTTGCAAGGAAAAGGTCAATCAGCAAGCCCTTATTAGGTATGATAATGATTTTAGGACTAAACTGAATTGATAACCAATGTCATGCATTTGCATCTCATAAAGATGAAGGTAATATCTTGCCCTTTTGTCAGTTTTATTTGGAATTGGTTTACTTCCCTTTTTGGGTACAAGTGGTCTTCTCTTGACAGGGTGGAAGGTTTATTCAGCCCAAATGGTATCAGTGGCATGAAAAGGAGGGGTAGGATTCTATGGAGGTATACTAGAGCAGCAATACTTTGGACCGTTTGGGTGGAAAGAAATGATAGAATATTTGAAGGAAAAGAAAAATGCAAGGAAGCTTTAATTGAAACGATAACATTGAGGGTGGCACATTGGGTAAAAAGCTTGAAGCTGTTTTCAGCTTTTAAGGTCGAAGACTTTTTCAGGGTTTGGGGACTTGTTGCTGCCTCATCATCCACAAGACAACAGTTTTTTGAGGCTTGGTCTCCTCCAACAGATGGTTGGAAGAAGCAGAACTTTGATGGGAGTTGTGTGGGTAACCCAGGTCCTTTAGGCATTGGGGGGGCATTAGAGATGAAAATGGACTCATTATTGCTCTATACTCCGGTCCTGTGGAGGAGGGTGATGTGGCAAGGGCAGAGCTTCTAGCTGCAGCATATGGGGTTGAGAAGGCTAAAGAGTTGGGTATTAATAGACTGATCATCGAGGGAGACTCAAAAACTGTGATTAAACAGTTGCAGAAAGGGGAAGGGGTGACATGGAAGTTGAAGAATGATTTCCGAAGATTTAAATGGATGTCAAGGAACATGTCGATCCAGGTGGGATGGGTTAGGAGATCTGCCAACAATTTGGCAGATAGTTTAGCAAAGCAAGGGGTTCAAAAAACACATGTTTTGGGCACATTTGTAATTCTGTCCTGGGTCAGCTTACTAAAGCTGATTTCTTTCACAACTTCTTGTTGTATCCTAAAGTTTTAGTAGAAGATCAAGACTGTAATCAGTCTTGAATCCTAATAGGTTTTAGGTTTACAAAACAGAAGAAAATGAGAGAAAAGGAGAGTGAATAGAAGAGAAACAGGAGAACACAAGTGGTTGAAAGGAATGACAGATTCTTACTAATCTGCCGCCGCCACTTTCTTATTATTTATAGGTTATGTTTAGTACATAATGGAAAGGACACATCTGCCCTTAGTACTTACATAATAAATAAAGTAAATAAAAGCTGAAATAAATAACAACTGAAT